CGTTGCCCGGGCCTCTCTCCACCACGAGGGGTAACCTCCCTTCACTAAAGATTGAGACCATTACTCAACTAAGGTGCAGGCGTTGAACTCTTGTTCAACAACAGATTTGACAAAAAGGAAACCGCTGCCCTGACTAACCACAACCTTGGGAAAGAAAAGGAACCAATAATAACTTAAAAAATACAAAAACAAATGGGGTAAAGAACTAACTCTGGCTATGTCTAAAAACAACTAATCCACAAGGCCTTAAAACTAAACAAATTGAAACGTCTCACTGTCAAAAACATGCATCACCACTGTTTAAATCCAACACCCACAAAGGAATAGTTACACAACTAAGTAACTAATCTCTACCTTACGTTATCTACCCATCAGAAAACCATTTATTATTTAAATAAAATTGTCCACATGGCCTGAATATCCCAACTAACTTTAAAAAGGAAAGATAACACTGAAAAACTATAAAAATAACAATGATACTTTCATACAAAAAAAACACATAACCTGGTGTTTGAGATGTTATAAAGTCCTTTGCCTAATGGATAACTCTCCCTCCGCTTACTTCCCCTTTGCCAGTTTCCTGCAACTTTATAAAACCGAATGCAACAGGTTTATATTCTCAATCTGCCTAAATACTAAAAAGTTAAGGATCCATACTCAATTTCTCATATTCCCCAACAGAGGATGGGGTATTCCTCAGATACCACGTGCCATGAAACCACTTTCTCCCAATATCTGGACTGGATGATTTTATAACTCTCCTTCATCGGCCTGCCATGATGGGTCTTCGCAGATATAAGGTGAACGTGCAATATATTTGTTTATCCGTCCAATCTCTGTTTTCAAATACGCAGTCATTTTTGCTTTACCGAACAACTTGAAACCCACATGCATGAAAGACTTAGGTCACACATCCCCCCCCCTTGGAAATACTTTGGACCTCTTAAGTATTCCCTAGGAGAGTCCATCGTTTGTCCAACACTAAAAATGACCCTGAAATTTGGTTTGAATGCTTAATTATCCACCTCACATGCTACTTGTTGCAAGACAATCCCACTAGAGGTAAATGGTGGAATCGAAGGCCCACTGACATCTCTAGCATTTTAATTATTGCAGAAGAAGTACAAATGAGAGAAACCGACCAAAGTATCGAAGCCTGCCTCTGACATGGGATCTGTTTTAGTTGCTTCGAGTATGAGAGGAGGTCGTAACCAATTTTATGGGTGTACCCTATGAGTGAGAGATTCCCTAAATTTTTGCCTTCATCCCGCCATTCATAGGTCGTAACCAATTTTATTGTTGGGTCCAACTTTAGCTTTTTGATAGGTCGGTCAACTACAAAAGAGTGTGTATCATTTCTCTGTTTTCAGAGGTATGTTCGATGAGGCGAATTTGCTGAAGAGTCTAGCATTTCACCAATTATGAATTATGGTTTCCTTATTCGACCAAACTTCCTTATATTATTTCCGAACATTGAAAGATGCGCCTACCATCATCCACAATCAAGTTAAGCTTTCAAATCTTACCCGATTCACTATAGCCCTTAGTGTATCAGGTTCCGAGGGTCAGGAGATACTATCATAAAACGGTTCTTTCATTTTTGCGGAACGGCTGAAATAAGGACCACTCTTTTTTCTTTTTGATACCAAAGTTGACCCAACAACTTGAATTCCCCAAAATCCAATTTCGATTTTTAATTCCCTAAAACTTTATCCCATAAGTTCTTTATCATGAGTATCCCCTTTTCAATCCAGGATCTTTGAAAACTCGATCTGGTTCGAGTCAACCCTGAACCAATTTGCTTTCATATTTATGATAATTGAATTATCAAATAGGCAGAACATCTCCCAAGCAGCTTTAAAGATGAAACCTTCATCCTCGGTTGTTTGAGGCTTCCAAAAAAAAATTGTTACTCTTCTTCTAAAGATAGTATATAGTTGTTCTCCATACGCATGCACCGTAGCTACAAATCGAAGGACTGCAAAGAGCGCCCCGTTTGTCAACATTGTCCTCCCAAAGAGGGATAAATATGAATACTAAGTGGATCACATTTTGTAACAGAATGTTGTTTTCGTTGTCAGTGAACCATTTAGAGGGCTCTTCCAAAATATTTTTCATACCCTATTCTATAGCGGAGGGATAAAATTTTAGAAAGGAAAAATACGGATACGTGTCAGTTAACTCAAGCTTCAGAAAGACTACAATATTTTGTCCGACATGAATTTAGTGCGCATAAGGAGATACAACTGTTCTCCCATATGGTAAATAGGCCGTCAACGAAGGTCTTAACTCTGCATTACTGGAGTCTGTTGATATACCCTGAATCTGTGGGTGAGAGCGTACATTATATAGAAACACCTTTATTTCGATTGTGAATAGCAGTGGCACAAGGGGACAACCTGCAAAGGTCGGGTACGTGGAAAGTTTTGAGAAACCTTTCCACTAACAATGGTTGAAGATGTAGAGTATGTATAAAGGATAACAACCCATTTGAATAATTTTTTACAAAATAAATAGTCATCTCAGTATGTTGAGGATGTACGACCAATTAATTTTTTTTATGTCTTTTTTATATTAAACATTAAAATAATAATATTGGACTGTTGTAAGATTGACTTAAAAAAACAATTATGATTCAACAGTCATAATTTAATTCAACTCAATTTAAACGGTGAAACGAAGTTATGTTATTACATTTGTAGTGCGTTGGACTTTGACAATGATATTATTATTCAATATACAATTCAAGTCAATTGTCATGAAACACTGGTGGAGGAGTTACAACTCAAAGCGAATGTAGTTCCTGCTTTTGGAATACTTGGTATGATGATTGGACTTTATGTTTCATTTTTTTAGGGAAGTTTTGTGAAAACAATGATGTAAAACAACGGAAGGTGAAATATAAAATTTTCTAAGTACGAGGAAGATTTACTTTTGAAGAAAAATACACTCCGTATGAGTGTGTTTCTTGTCGTACGCTATTATTTTTACAAAAAAAATCAAACATCATCCCAAATATCCTGTCATTGTAAAAAAAAATTGAGTGATTTTTAAAACAATTTCTACAATTACTATGTAAAACTTAGGTTTATACCACCACTACCTTTCCCACATGGAAAATAAGAAAAACTGATTGTTTTCCAAACTCCTAAAGATTCGTAAGCCAGGCTTGACGAAGTCTGCCATTGATAAATCTGATCGGCGACCGTCGTTTCGTTTTGGCCTCCGAAAAGGTCGGTGGCCCACCGGAGGCCCGTTATTTTCCTACGCGCCAAAGCTACTAGTGATATAAAGGGAATAAGTTGAAGGACTCATGAAAATTTACTGAAATTGGGGAAAAAAAAGTCGAGTTATACTATTTGCGACAAAACATACCGAGGCGTGCAGCAAAACGTGATAAAAACAAAAAAAAACAAGAGAAAAATAAAACAAAAACTTTAGAATAAATAAAATATTGAAATACATTATGAAAAATCATTGTGTAAGCATGTGAGGGTTTTCCTTGAGAATGTGTCATACGAAGAGGAAAAATAATGAAAAATTTGGGCTACCAGAGTGGCCCGGGGTCACTTGCCCGACCGGACAAAAAAAATAAAAATAAATAAAATAATAATTTTTATTTTGAATTTGAAATTTTGTGAAGAATTTCGATGTCACCCCAAGGCAAAAGTTGCTCAGTTTATTTTTTTGCATAACATAATTTTTTTGGATTTTTTTTTGTTTGTTTTTTTGTTTTTGTTTTTTTAGCTGGGACCTTCCCTGGTCCTTGCACCAGGTTGGTCACTCGGAACCCGAGCGGCCCGGCTGGTAGCCTAGTAAAAAACTGAAAAATGTAGTTCTAATAGCGATTAAATACATTAAGAAAAATAGTATTGTTAGTATGTTCTCAATGAGGGCATTTCCAACTACGTGGAAGACACATGCCTTGCTAGCACGACATTGAGATGCAAAAATAAAATAAAATAATAGAGGTCAGATAGATTCTCAAAAGTATTAGTATGAGTATGACCTTAATAAAAGTCTTTCAAGTTAAATTTTGATTGCAATTTAGTTTTTTTTTTTCCTTTTATTTTTGTTATTATCTACTTGCATAAGGTAAAACACTTCAGCTTTAAGGTAGACTGAAATTGATATGTCCCTCAAAGAGAGCAATGACTTGCACTGTGAATTGCAAAGTCGAAAATATGCAAATTTTGAGTCGACAATTTATCTTAGATTCGAATTGTAGTTTTTTTTTTTTTTTTTTCACCAACAGACCCACCGTCTTAACCCAAAAAAAATTCACTTATGTTGTATACCAGTGTTCGGGTACAACTTTGCAAGAGTCTGTAGTACCATTGTTATTGTTTTTTTTTTTTTTTAATTTTGTTAGAGATTTTGTCATGCTCGAAAGACGAAAGTTGTTTATATTGCAATTTGTATACCATATTTTTTTTACGTTTTTCGTTTCATTATTATTTTTTTTTCAATTATAAATAAATAAAAATATCATTGTCGTAAAAAAAAAGTGTTGATGTTTTTACTATGAAGATTTTTATGCCTGACCGGGCACCCGGGTGTGATGCTCAGGGGGATCTAACATCCGGGGTACCTGAACGTGCAAAAAAAATAAAATAAAATTGGTTTGCGCTCTCTCAAAGGACCAAAAATCCGTGTTTTTTTTATTTTTTTAGAGTTGGCTATCAAGGAGGGGTGAGGGGGGTATAAATTTATTTTAAAGATGTTAAGGGCGGTTAAAGGAGGTTGTCTTAGTGTGATTTTGGTATTCTCTTTCTTATCTCCGATTTTGTAAGAAATTTTGATGTGACCCTCGACCAAAAGTTATTCGTATTGCAATTTTACACAATATTTTTTTTTATGGATTTTTTTTTTTTTTTTTTTTTTTTTGGGGGGGGGGGGGGGAAGAGGGGGGGAGGGGGGGGGGGGGGGGGGGGGGGGGGGGGGGGGGGGGGGGGGGGGGGGGGCCAAGATTTTGGAGGGGTGGAGAAGTGAGCTCTCACCATGACGGATTCTTCTGCCTCCAAACACTTAATGGCCTCTCTCTGGAACGGATCGAGAGTAAAAGGGTACTTTTTGGCCGGTTCCTTAGATGGGGGTTTTGGCGGGGGGGCCACATAACCCTCAGGAAATACCACGTCATGCGTGCACGTACGCTCCGCATCCTGTCCCGTCGAAGATCGCGTTGGATCCGTCGTCGATTGCAATTCCCCCCCCCCGCCGCCGCCATCGTCGTTGCCATTTACAATCGCCGCCCCGGCGGCGCCGCCGCCGCCGGCGATGACGGCAGTTTGCGCTTCCCCCGGCATAACCGTTGTCATCTTCTCCGCCGCCTTTCCCCCCCCTCGATCCATAATGCCATCGCCATGGCCACCAACACTATTGCGTGGTTTCACTCGAACGGCCCCCGCACTAGAGTCCAAGCAATTAGCGATGGCGTCTCCATCTTCTTCCTCCTGCTTTCTCTTCATACTTGCCCTCACACAGAGATTCCAATCCAATTATGAAAAAGCTTCTTCGCGCTGGCGACAGACACCAGCGACCCGATCTGCAATTGACAGAGCGGTCGCCAAGCGAAAATGGTAAAAACGCGGGCGACCGAAAGAGCGCTTAGGAGCTGCAGCGATGGCTGTGAACGGCGGCAGGGAAGACTGCGGAGCGTGCGACTCTCGGTGGCCGGCAGAACCGCATCACACAAGCCCCGATATCTCCCCCTTTCCCACCCCAGGTGGCCCTGGGCTCTCTCCCTTACCCGCCCCAGGTAGACCTGTGCTCTCTCCCTTTCCCACCCCTGTGCTCTCTCCCTTTCCCACCCTACCGCGGCCAAGTCCCATGGTACTTTCTCTTGTGGAAAAAGAAAAAAAAAGGTCGGACAGAACTGTCTAGTGGCTATATATAAGGCTTAGACTCTGCGGTAAGGGTAGGGGTATAAGTCGCTCAGGCCACTCCAAGTTCCGTTTGGCCTTGGGTAAGCTAGGGGAAGGACGGTAAGACTGCTTCAATGGGTGCTACCCTGTCTGAAACCTAGGACCCAGAGTCTCTTGGGGCCTGTAGTAGATTGTCTGGGCCTGGCGTCCCAAGTTCCCGTTCGACAAGGCTCGTCCTATTCCGCTTCCACCAGGGCTGGGCACGTATCAGCGTTGGTGCCTATCACAGCTGTTCGGTCCAAGTTATGGGACACGGCCTACAGCTCTAGGTGATCACTGTGTACTCAGCGACTGGCCTCTACAACACCATGGACTTTATTATAAAAAAACAAAAAAAAGAGGTCCTATGGCACGGGGCCAAGTCCCACTAGCAGCGTTGAGCTACCTCAACGCCTTAATCTGGACGCGTTTGTGGAGACGTGCAATTCAGGAAACTCAACACCATTTTTGCACATCTCCGCAAAAGCGTCCACATTCAAGGGTTGAGATAGCTCAACGTTGCTAGTGGGACTTGGCCCCGGGGCTTTAGACTCCGTTTTGAGAACTCACCGATTCCTGCCATCCAATCCGATCATTTTTTTTTTATTTTTTTTTTGCCTTCCTTTTTTTTTTCTTTTTCTTTCTTTGTGAGTAGGTCGTTGTGCGTCCCCTCCTGGGCCGGTCATTGTGCGTCCCCGCCTGTCCCTCCCCCCCTATGAACATCAACAGTCTATGGTAAATGCTACTCGGGGGGGTCAACGACCTATCTCTAGGTAGGCAACTTTTGTCTGAGGGTCTTGGTGAAATTCCCAACCAAATTCGAGAAAATGACGGTGGTACTATAGGCTCCTGCAAAGTTGTGCCCTAAAACTCATTGTATAACGTACGTACGTACGTTGCATTCATATACAAAGTACGTACGACTCAGTTTTCCTTCCGAGTATTTTTCAATGTTGGTGTGTAGAGGAGTGATTATGGAAGAGATATGTAGGGCAAGTAATTCAGTGGTTTTCAAGAAGGAAAAGTTGTCCTCCCATCATCAGTTCCAGCAGATTCAAACATCAATCAGGCCGATGATTATGAATGATTAGAAATGTTGTTTGGATCGTCAAAGGAAAAGGTCTTCCTTGGTTCTTGAGGACCTAGGCCAAGGGACAACCTCGGTGATCATTGTCCGGATTTATTTGCATTTACTTCAACAACTCTGGATATTCATGAAATATTTTTGAATTGTGCTTCATGGTTAAATCTGGGAAGTGTAACTTAATAGGAGGATGGGACACTGAACCCAGGTTCCAATATAGCCAAAGCTGGGTAGTTCCCCCCAGATACTCCTGGGTTGAATTGTGAATTTTCTAACCTCGTCCTACTATTTTGTAATGAAGTTTTCACCTTTCCAAAACAAAAAGGGATAATTTGCGAAATACCCCTATAAGTTGAGATATGTGTCAAAATGTCCCTAAAAGATGTGGGTAGAGCGGAATACCCCTCTGATGCAAGAAACTGTTTTGTGAAATGCCCCTGGCGTTGAACCCGCAATCTTTGCAAAATAACCCTACTTGGTATTGTCCATCATTGCAAAATGTCTCGGTACTTGCCAACTTTTCCCATGCCTTGTCAGCCCGGGTCATCTTTGCATTTTGCCCCTTGCTCGTTTGAGGCCGACAACGACCTTTTCCAAACCCTTGAAGATAACGTACCACCATTACGGTTGTTATCTTTTGAAGCAACTTTCTGTCTATATACACCGAAGCAACTTTATGTATAGATACACCCATAATGGACGTGTGTACTATTAGGGGGGGTGTTGTTGTTTTATCATTGCATTGTGTGTGTGTGTGTATGTATGTGTGTATGTGTGTGTGTGTGTGTGTATTTGTGTGTGTGTGTGTGTGTGTGCGTGAGAGAGAGAGAGGAGTGGCGAGCAAAAGGGGAGAAAAATTGGAGGAATGGCTGGAGGAGTTGGAGATGGGCGAGTTTGCCAGGGCGAAGTTGCCGACCCTGAGGCACGGGCAGAGACTTCGAACGACTTAGAAAGTTGGAGGCAAACTGTCGCGCCTATGGAGTTGGGTATTGCACAAAGTTGCCCACCCGGTACGGAAAGCAAACCAGGTAAAACAGGGTGCAGCCCCAGGCCTCAACGACGATGTCTCTATTGCAAATTTGCGCACAGGCCTAACAGGGGCAAAACATAAAGAATTAAGCCAAAAAAAACATTCCGCTCTACCCATATATTTTGGGAGCATTTTGACAAATATCTCAACTTATAAGGGTATTTCACAAACTATCCCTTTTTGTTTTGGAAAGGTGAAAAATTCATTACAAAATAGTAGGACGAGGTCGGGGACCTCACAATTCAACCCAGGAGTATTTGGGGCCACTACCCAGCTTTGGCTATACTGGAACCCGGGTCCAGTGTTCCATCCTCCTATAAAGTTACACTTTCCAGATTTAACCATAAAGCAAAATTCAAAAATCTTTCATGAATATCCAGAGTTGTTGAAGTAAATGCAAATAAGTTCGGATAATGATCACCGAGGTTGTCCTTTGGCCCAGGTCCTCAAGAACCAGTGACGACCTCTTCCTTGACGATCCAAACAACATTTTTAACCAATCATAATCATTAGCCTGATTAATGTTTGAATTTGTTGGAACTGATGATAGGAGGATAATTTTTCCTTATTGAAAACCATTGAATTCCTTGCCCTCCATATCTCTTCCATAATCACTCCTCTACACACCAACGTTGAAAAATACTCAGAAGGAAGACTGGGTCGTACGTACTTTGTATACGAATGCAACGTACGTACATTATACAATGAGTTTTATAGCACAACTTTGCAGGAGCCTATAGTACCACCATCATTTTCTCGAATTTGGTTGGCAATTTCACCAAGACCCTCATGCAAAAGTTGCCTACCTAGAAACAAGTCGTTGATTCCCCCGAGTCACATTTACCATAGACTGTTGATGTTCATAGGAGGAAGGGACATGAGGGGACGCACAACGACTGACCCATCGAAGAAGTTTGGTCCTGATGCTACCTACTGACCCCTGGTCGGTATCACCTACCTGCTGTAGCGGGTATCGCACCTGAAGGTGGATGCAACTTCTACATATCCTCTAGTTGGAAGCTTGAGCATAGATGTGGCTGCACGAGGCTCCCCTTGATACTATAATGACTTAGGCTACCAGTCGAGCAACCCGGATCACCCTATTTTATTGGGCGGCCCGACCGTGCAAGGACTAGGGAAGGTCCTAGCAAAAAAAAAAAAAAAAAAAAAAAAAAAAAAAAAAAAAAAAAAAAAAAAAAAAAAAAAAANGGGGAGGGGGGAGGAATCGAAGGAAAAGCACTCTTCCTGTTCCGTACGCGAAATGAAACGAAGTTCCACTTCAGCGCCAAGGAAAAGGGTAAATTAATCATCATATATTATTTTTTATTTACAGTACATATATTTCTTGGACCGGTTTCAATGATGTACGGATTCATTCCCTGGTGATATTGATTGCTCGATCATCGGCAGTGACGTGGCACCGGCGAATAGCACGTGGTACCGGGCCACCGATGGCATGGAACCAGACAGTGACGTGGAACCGGCGATGGCGTGGAACCAGCATTGACGTGGAACCGACGATGGCGCAGTACCATCAATGTCGTGGTGCCAGCAGCCACGTAGAACCGGCGATGGCGTGGTAGAGGCCCAGCGATGACGTGGAACCAGAATTGATGTGGAACCGACGAGGCGTGGTACCAGCGATGGCGTGGTACCGGCAGTGCCGTGGAACCGGCGATGGCGTGGTACCAGCAGTTACGTGGAACCGGCGGTGACGTAGCCAAAAGAGGAGAAGAGAAAGAGAGAGACACAGAGAGAGAGAGAAACAAATCCTTGGGAATACACTCCTGTCCCAGTGACGTGGCAGACGATGAGTTAATCCGTGTGCATCAAACTGACGCGCTTGACCTTTCTTTTGCACATCACCGTCTCGACATGTCTCCTTCATTCTTATCCTCTCTCTCCTCTCCCCATCCTCTCCATCTCCTCTCCCTCTCTCTCTCGAGATGCACGCTGAGGGACAGAACAGCCTGTTGAGCACGCATTGCATCTGCGTCTAAAAAAAGCCATCCGAATGCATCTGGCATCGTCTCCGCGCCAGATGCATCCTCGATAAAGAGTCTTTGCGAGCCATCATAATGCATCCGGCATCGCCTGTCCCAAAACGGCTTCCTTCCCCTTCTACCGAACCACTCCCTGATCCCAGATGAAAACGCTCAAAAGCCTTCAAACCTTCCCCTCTCGGTCGGGATCCCATCACCCGATCATACCTTGAAAATGTCCCAGGTAAAGATAAGACGCAGAAGCAGCAGAAGAAGAAGAAGAAGAAGAAAATGAAAGAAGAGAGGGAGGGGGGGGGAAGAGGGGAGGCGGAGAATGAAAAAGAGGAGGAAATTGTGCGAGAAAGAAGAAGAAGAAGGAGAAGATTTCGGCAAGAATGATACAGGCAATGGGCAAAAAAGGGAGGGGGAGAAGCTGTCTCTTATACACATCTAGATGTGTATAAGAGACAGGTTCTACGTAGACGGCCATGATGCCTATCGTTTA